AGATGAATTAATAGTGTATTTTTTTATTTATATATTCGAATGCACCCTAAGTAGGAAGCTTATCGGGTTGAGTTCTTGATACTCGAGCTTAGGTTCGAGCTTTCACTGAATCAAGTTTGAGTTCTTATCGTTAAGATAAACAAGCTCATTAATGAGCTATGAGCTGGATTATAAAAATTATATAAAGACTCATAGTTTTTAGTCTTAACACTCGATCTGATACCTAAACAAGTTTTAAACGAAGTAGCAGTTCGTTTGGTTTAACTTCTTTATAATGGTTATGTGTATGTAATGCCATTGGCGTGTGATAAACTTTTATATTATTTACTATACACGTATGTTATTAGTTTTCAATTATAGTAAATAAAGCTCCAAATCCTACTTGACTTTATGGCATGATTGGTATAATATAATGGAATTTCGTAAGAATGGAATGAATTGAAGAATAAAATGATTATGGAAAATGAATGAAACAAGTTTGTCATTGATGCGTTTGATATGTAGAAGGAATAAGACATGAATGGAATGACATTCTCATTTTTTATTATCATTTATCACTATTTTATAGAAAAATAAAATATTTATATTAATGTAAATTTTTATTTAGGATAATAATAAAATTATTTTATTTCTTAAAAAGATATACTATATTTTAATAAATAAATTTTGTATTGTTACGCTCATATATATTATATCATAAATTATTGAATTGTGTATTCATATACATATTAACTAATATAAATACATCATTATATAAACCCCTATAAATATATGTTGCCGAATATAATTTTTTATGTTATAATTCACTTTATGAATAAATATATAATAAATATGATGTATAAAAATAAAATAATATATTTTTAAATTATATATAAATACTTTTTTTAGTTTTATTTTTATATAAGTATTTAATATATCTAATTAAACAATAAATAAAAGTAAGTTTTCAATTTTTTTATTTGAATTTTATTTTTTAAATAATTCTATTTAATATATTTTAATCATGATTTATAATATATATTATATATTTATATTTTATTATTATTTGTTAATTTTATTTTTTGAAAAATTGATTCCTACACACATGGGAATGAGAAAACTTTCCATTAACTATGGAATGATTAATCCCATTGAGATGAATTTTGTCATTCATGGTCATTCTTTTCTAAAAAATATACCAATCATAGAATAAGGAATGAGTAAAAAAATGATCATTTCATTCTCATTCTCATGTCATTCCTTCGTACCAATTATTCCATTAGTCATTAATGTCTTATAAGAGAAAAAATTGCAAATCTCTGATAAATTGATAATGTTGTTAGTGAAGAGTACTTTGCGACTGCGACATCTGATCTGACGGAAATGCTCACTTTTGGTTTTATTGTGAATACAATAAATATTCCAGTGGACCGAAAAAAAAAAAAGGAATATGCGAAAAAAATAATATAGATCTTCACTTTATTGACAGATATTGGACCATGCATGCCAGCGCCCACCATGCTCGATAACCGATAGGGATGACTTTTCAGTGCTTTAGATGGATTTGAGGATTTCTAAATGAACTCATAAATAAAGTGTATTGAATTAAATAATATATCAAAAATTGAAAAAAAAAAAACATTTTAATTTTAATTGAAATATTTATTTTTGGCATTAAGTTAAAAAATAATACATTGAAGATACAATCCTACAAGCAAAAGGAATTTTTAGGGGAAGATCTTCATTTATCTATTTATATTTATATATAGTTCGGTTTCTATTATGTTATGTACATTGGAAAGATCTTGCTTGATTTTATTTTGTGTTTTGTATATTTCCGGACGTCACTACAACAAAATGATGAAATTTCAACGGAAAGTTCCAATACAAATTTATTTAATGGAATTCTAACGAAAATTCCAACAAAAATATTCCGATGGAATGAGTTTTTCATTAGAATTTTCGTTGGATTTTGACAGTTTCAACAGTAGATTTTCCAACGGAGGTGGAAATAAAAATTTCAACGGAAATTGCATATTCCAACGGTAAAAAACCGTTGGAAAAATAGTCGTTGGAATCATCAAATTCCATCTAAAATTCCAATAGAAAAGTCATTCCAATGCAATATTTTCGTTAGAATTTCCGTTGGACTCATTTCAACGGAAGCTATACCATTGGAATATTCGTTGGAATTCCCATTGGAATATATTATCGTAAGATTTTCCGTTGAAATATAACAAATTTTTTGTAGTGCGTGTGCATGGAGATGAAAGGCAACAAGGATGGTAAGAACTAAGAAGATCAAAGGAAGAGAGAAGAGGCAATATCTGCTTACCATGTTTGAACCTAAAGTTTTGGAAGGAAATCACAAAGAGAAGGAATGTTGTCTGGAGAAGACTTCAGGCCTAAGGAGTCTTCACATACCCATCTTGAAGATCAATCGAAGGTTGCTGAGACTATTATTATTCACACTTTATTTCAACATTCGATTGAGAGTTCAAGTTTTTTGTTGATTTCATTTCGCAGTTCAGCTCTTCGGTGTTCTTACACTATCGAAGAATTGAAGTTGTTTTTCTTTTAGTTTTCATATTTTCTTCAGAAACATTGTTTTAGTACTTTGGGATTAAGTACTGGGTCTTCTTGAGGGATTCGAGTGTGTAAAATCTACGGGACGTGGCCAGAGAAGTAGTTGACAGGGTCGAGTATAGTGTTAGTTAGGCTAGAAGGGAGTTCTAGTTGTATAAGTCCAAACTATACACGAGTACACAATCGATCTATTAATGAAAGAACTTTGAGGGGTAGTGGGACGCTCCCGAAAAGTTTTTTAATCTCTTGTTTGTGCTTCAGCTATTTAAACTTATTCTGGTGTTGCAACACAATTTGAAAATCTATAAACATTCCGTGTTCTAACACAGTTGAACGCACTCTACGGCTAATACCTACGTTCGATTAATAAATTTATTTAGAATCAAAATAACTTTTAAATTATTTAACTAGTGTGATACATGAAGTTTGTCAATAGATAATATATTTTTAAATCATATCATAACATTTCAATACTATTTTCAATTAGAGTTGATGCACACCATAAAGTTTTTATTTTATTAAAAATTTGTTATATTATTAAAGTCTCAATTGAAAATCTTCTCCTCTCTCACTTTTTAACTCACTCTTACTGTGGGCATAAATAGGAAAATATAATTTATTCTCAATGAATTTTTATAGCAATCTCTCTCCCTAGNCCTCTTATCTAATTTAAATTTAAATTAGACGTCAATACATTTCATTTTTTTATTAAGTTTTTCATATACAATATATACAATCAAATATTTTTATGATTTTTAATTTGACATTACGTTACATACATAAAAAAAATATTATATTTAACGAAAATATTGTTATTATCTTTCATGAAGAGACCTATATAGTGTGTTAACCCAAACATAAAAAATTATACACAACACTGACCGTTAAGTTGAAAGGAATCTTTTCATTTTTATATTTATCATGTATTGTATGTTATGTTAATCTCCTAATAGCAAATAACTTATTCGAAATAAGGTTTGTAAAAACTATATAATTATTTATTTCAATTCAATGAAAAAACAAAAATCTCCAAAACATTTCATTCAAATTATTATGGTCAATTCACGCTATATCATCATTATCCCATTATTGACAAAATATCTTGTCGTTTCTCACGGACTCCTCACTTTCTATCCTTTAATTGCATCCAAATCCACACAAAAAGTATACACGAAAATTACCTTTTTCTCCTCATATCTCAAATCCTCGGTCAAAACTCAAAAAAGTCTATTAAATTACCAATAATCTATATATATATAATTACTAGCTCTTCTGCATTTAATTAAACCTCATAAATTATACCTAGGTGGCATTTTCCCGCCAATTTCCGTTACATTTCATTTGTTTTTATTTTTTATTTTCTTTATTAAAAACAACTCAATTTTCTTGAAAAGTTGAGTGTTTTAAAAATGACAACCAATTAATTCTGCAATTATAACGAGTTAATGAAAATGAAAATGTTTCCATATTTTTTTAAACATATTAATTACTCTCAACAGTTCTCATTAATTATTTTTTTAATCGAAATTATTTTTTCTATGCATAGTAAACTAAACGAAATTAATGAAAATAAATAAAAAATTAATTATTAACAAATACAACTAACCAAAAAAATAAATTTAAAATAAAATAAAAAATCAGATGCTCCATCTCCGGTCAATTCCTGTAAAAATAACAAAATTAAAGATCAACTAAAACAATTAATTATAATTATCAAATTACAATTCCAAAAGTTGAGATAATTACTGTTTCGAAATTATCTGAATAGGAGGCGAAAATCTGAAAAAAAGATGCGGGAATCCAAAATTTTAAAAAATTCTTTATATAAATTCCAAGCATCAACATCCCATATTTTTTTCTTATATCATAACTTTAATAATAATTAAATTTAAATATCTCATATTTTTTGCAAATCTCATCACTCATAAAAAATAAATATTATTTATAGTCGGTCAAATCAACTATGCCATATTCTTTCTCATTTCATAACTGTAATAAAAACTAAATATTAAATATCCAATATTTTTTGCAAATCTCATTACCCTAAATATATATATATATATATGTATAATTGCTGGCTCATTAGTATTTAATAAAACTTATTAAATTATACCTATGTGGCAATATAGTTTTTTTCATCGAAAAATTGTTATTTCTTATTTATTTAACCTCTCATTTAATTATTAGATATCAAAACACTAATCACTTCAAAATTACAAAAATTATTTTAAATTTTTTATTTACTTGCGGTTGACCATATAATGTGTTGACTATTTAACTTGAGTAGATGTTATTGTTGTGGTTACATTTAAATTAACTTCTTTTGGAAATAAAAAACGTATTTGAAATTCCTAAATAAATAACAAATAATTCACAACAAAAGATACATGCCAAAATATACATTACATCCAATATGAAAAACGTATTTTTAAAAAATAAAGATTTCAGCTCATTTAATTGTAAATTTAGCAAAAATCATTAATCATTATATGCATACAAATAAAACGCAATATTTTATTTATATATCTGTGCAAATGCACAGGCCGAATACTAGTGTTTACACTAACAACACACAAATCAAGCTGTGGAGTTATGCAAATCCAATGCAGCGCCGTACATGGACAAAACTGTTGACCATTTTCATATACGAATTCGTATATTTTGCGTATATTCTATTAACAAAAAAATGTAACTAAAAATAACTTTAACTACTGAATCCGCGTAAATTCAGGGTAATATTCTTCTTCAGGTCTATTTATTCATCCCTTCCCATTTGCCGAGAAAATTTAATTATAGGACTTTGTTTTCACCCAGGAGTGTGGTCGGCGCAGGTTAAGGAACTGGAGAGGATGGGCGCGTCGGGAGCCGCGATCGTGCTCTGCGCACTGGCCGCTGCGGTTCTGAACGGTGCGGTTCTGTGCAGTGGGCGGATTACGAGCAGCTTCGTGAGGAAGGTTGAGGGAAGCGTTGATATGCCGCTGGACAGTGGCGTATTTAAGGTGCCTCCTGGCTATAATGCGCCTCAACAGGTTTGTGCGCTTTTTAATAATGATTTAATTGTATGTGTAAATCTTTCTTTATTTCTTCTAATTATGATTGTACTGTAGCGAGTAATTGATTATCCTTTTGCCTTCTTTGTATTTTATTGCTTAATTAAGCATAATGGATTAGCTTTTGTCTTTGTATAATTTATTGCTTAATTAAGCTCAATTTGATGTTTTCTCCCCAAGTCTAGATCAACCCATGTTTATAGAGTGTTGTACCTTTTTACAAAGTTTAGAGATTTTTATTCTGAAATGAGAATTTCTACCGTTCAGTATATTGGGTAGTTGGATTTTTATGCTTAATTAGTAATAACACAAATTATTGTTCAAGTCAAATTGCATTTTTTTGTTGAAAAATGAATAGTTATATCATGAAATGTTATATTTTTGTTTACATTATTTTTTTGTTTATGTCTGTTTAAGAAGTACCTTATTAATATTATGTGTTGATCTTTTTTTTTTAATTGGATTTTTATAGGTACATATAACTCAAGGAGACCATGATGGAAAAGCAGTGATTGTATCATGGGTAACTGCAGAGGAGCCAGGCTCAAACATAGTCCAGTATTGGGCTGAGAACAGCAATCACAAGAAACAGGCAAAGGGGAAAGTGAAAACCTACAAATTTTACAATTACACCTCTGGTTATATTCATCACTGCACCATCAGGAACTTAAAGGTAGATTTTTATTTTTTTTTTGTTAAAAAACAAAAACATAAACTATAGGGTACTTATTTTAGGACACGTCGTCAATACGCTATTTGTTTTATAAATAAATGTGAATGGCTTCATAAACCCAAACAGAAAAACTGACTTAAACTAAGTCTTTAACATAAACTTGTTTCTTGTTACCTATATGTCATGTTTTGTATTGAATTGGTAATTTTTTATTTACATCAATTTTTTTTTTTTTCTTTTGTTCAGTATGATACCAAATATTACTATGTAGTTGGTACTGGGCACAAGAGCCGAACATTTTCGTTCACCACGCCTCCAGCAGTTGGCCCAGATGTTCCGTATACATTTGGTCTGATAGGTAACTGAGTTTTCACTATAGTTCTTTTGTTCAGTATTATACATTCGGTGCCATATTTTTATGGTCTTTCATGTTTTTTGATGTTAATTAAGGGTGAAATTTATATCATCTATGGATATTGTTTTCATTTGTAGGTGATCTTGGTCAGACTTACGATTCCAACAATACGCTTACACATTACGAGGAGAACCCAGTGAAGGGACAAGCTGTGTTGTTTGTTGGGGACCTTTCTTATGCCGATAATCATCCTAATCACGACAATGTGAGATGGGACACATGGGCAAGGTTTGTCGAAAGAAGCGTGGCTTATCAACCCTGGATTTGGACAGCTGGAAATCACGAGCTAGATTTTGCTCCTGAAATCGTGAGTGCCGTAAAAATTTTTCATTGTCCATTAATATAACACTCTTGCCGGAACATTTTTCTACATTTTTTGATAGTTTCGTTTGAATAAGAGAATGGAACTGATCTTTATGTGCTGGTCGTATTGTATTTCATTGTTTTTGAGGTGTTGCCTCTTGTATTTGTCGTTTATATATTTATTTTTTGAGTTGATTGCTCGTTTTTATTGAACAATCAAACCCTTCATTTCATTCAATTTTATGTTGCTTTTAATAATGTTTGCTTTGCAGGGCGAAAACAATCCTTTCAAGCCGTTTACCCACCGTTATCACGTCCCTTATAAAGCATCAGAAAGTACTTCTCCTCTTTGGTATTCTATCAAGAGAGCTTCTGCTTACATCATAGTATTGTCTTCATATTCGGCTTACGGTAAGATTTTTTCATCATTTTCCCTGAATTTTCGGAACAGTAAAAAACTAAGAAATAAAATTGAAATCCGTTCGCGATAATTCGTTTTACTTTCTAGGCAAATACACACCTCAATATTCGTGGCTCGAAAAGGAGCTGCCTAAAGTGAACAGAACCGAGACACCGTGGTTGATTGTGCTCGTGCATTCTCCATGGTACAATAGCTACGAATATCACTTTATGGAAGGAGAAACAATGAGAGTAATGTACGAGCCGTGGTTCGTGCAATATAAAGTCGATGTCGTATTTTCTGGCCATGTTCATGCGTACGAACGTTCGGTAAGCTTTTCCAAATGTTCTTTTTTCTGTTCAATGGTGAGATTTTTTGAAAAAGACAAAAATGCATTTTTAGCACTGTTGGTTTAACGCCATAATAATTTTAGTCTCAATGTTCCAACTTTTCGACGTGTGGTCCTCTGATTTAATATTTTGCCTAAAATTCAGTCATGACTGAAATTGCTACAAAAATTTAAATTATAGGACTTAAATTGTTAATCGAAAATTTGGGAATTTGGGATTTGCAATTTAGGACTTGAAATTGCGCAAAATATTAAATCACATAACCAAAAGGCGAAATGTTGAAACATTGAGACTAAAATTGCTATGACGTTAAACCAACATGACAAAATGTTTAAAAAAAAAAAAAAAGTGTAGTTTACCTTTTAGTTCTAAATTATGTGTCCACTTTTCCTTACCGGACGATTATATTTTTCAGGAACGCGTGTCGAACATTGCATACAATCTCGTGAACAGGCTTTGCTCTCCGGTGCGCGACCAATCGGCCCCTGTATACATAACCATTGGAGATGGAGGAAATATTGAAGGTTTAGCCACAACGTAAGACTTGGATTTTTTATTTTTATTTTTATTTTAATCCGGCAATTTAAGCTTATGTAAACCATAAAACTCGAACGCAATCAATCTTTTACCTTTACTCGGTTTTTCAGCATGACAGAGCCTCAGCCCGCATACTCTGCTTACCGAGAAGCCAGCTTTGGCCATGCCACCTTCGAAATCAAGAACCGAACTCACGCGTATTACAGCTGGCACCGAAATCAGGATGGATATGCCGTAAAAGCCGATTCCATGTGGTTTTTCAATAGACAATGGAATCCGGTCGATGATTCTACGAATGCTCATTCGTGACAAATTTGCGACTTTTCTATTTATTAAACTTTTTTTTTGGTTAACCTTTTGCGATCGATTAAATGGGTTTTTCCTGATCGATATTTTGTATTCAGTTTGAATTGTGACGCCTCTGAGTTTCAAGTTTAGTATTGGTTTTTGGTTTTTCAAAATTTCAATGTTTGATATCTAGAATCTGGGTTCTCTTGATGTTCATCTTCTTGCTTTTGGTGCAAGTTTTGAAAATATTGGAATAAATACCAATTGAATTGGACATGACCTTTGTGTTTTGAGTTGTTTTGACTTTTGGGTTTGGAATTATGCATATATCATAATGTGTGCTTAGTATCCTGTTAAAGAAAATCGGTTGGGATTGATGGTGATGATGTAGTCATGGTTGAGTTCGATGTTGAGGTTGAGGATAGTGATTCTTTTGATGCTTGTAACTTTTAACATTTTTATTTATTTTTTCTAGGGTTCTTAGTAGTGTTTTGACAGGAGCATTGGTTATGTTACCATGGATTTTGTCCAAACGTGATGGTGTAGTTAGTAGTGTAACGTATCTTCTGATTGGTGGTCCTTCTGTTCTTTCCTTTTTCACGTTTTTTGCAACACAAATTGTCAAAGAAAGTGCTTATCAAGTGTAACCCAACATGTTATGTGGCTTTCATCAAGTACAAGCATATGGAAGAAATAATAATAATAATAATAATAATAATAATAATAATAATTTTCATTTTTTAAGCCAAATAGCCAATTATGTTGTTTGGTTATATATTGCTTTAGTGCTTGCTGCTTGGTTTAGAATAAAATACCCCCACAGCCATTGAAGCTTTGGCATCTTCAGCCCAGTAGTTTGATATCAATATATCATTTTACTCCTTCCAACTGAAAAGAATTTTCAGCATGACTTTTGAAACTTGATCAGTACTTGGGATATGTAGTTCCACAAGGAGTTAATTTTTAATAAATAATAATAAGAAAACAGAAAATAGTGCTGAGAGCATGGCAAGAATACAAAACAAGCGTACATAAATTAGCATTTTCAAGTTATGGGATTATCAATTATGAGGAGATGGTCATATCATCATCAGGTGAAAGCCTCCTCAATTGTTTGATTTTGTTCTCCCTATAATTACTACTAAATTGAAAATACCAACCTGAGGCCATATAAGAAAGAAATTCATTTCATAGATTCCTCACTTCCATGATAATGTATCGATAGCTTCTTGATGGACAAATTTGTCCCCTGCTGCAACTACATTGAAACCTGAAGATAGAATTTCGACAAATGAGTCAAAAACTGTTCAGCTTAAATATTTAATTGAAATTTAACTCGATGGTTGTAAATTGCACCTAAATTAGTTGTTTTCTTAGTTANAAAAATAAAAATAAAAAAAAAAACGAAGAATTGTGGAGAGGAGGGGTATTTATAATTCTGAAAGTTGTTGATTTTATTTTATTAATACTAGGCCTAATATCATACTTGCAGCGTGTGATCTAGAAGAAGCCTCCCAATGAAGTTGATGCCCTTTCCAATCGGTAATTACACCGCCAGCACCTTCAATCACAGGTATGAGTGCAAGGATATCGTACGGCTGAAAAAGGGTAAATAACAGGTCATCAATATAGATCACACAGAAATGGTGTGGGTTAGTTTTAATTTCATCACACGCTTAAGGCAAAAAAAAACGAAACAAAAAGGGTCATAGAACTTCTATGATTCACCAAACGAGTCGCGAGATTATCTTTACACACATTAGATAATGTAGTATATATGCAACTGAGGTATTCCCAGTATTTTGACCCACACATATTAATGGACCATTGCAACATTTTGAATTTCTAAGGGTGTGATTATTTATAAATAAACTCAATTCATACTCAATATACTCAAAATCTAACTCAACTTTAACTCAACTTCACTATTCATCCACTCACATAATATTAACTAAGACCATCCTNACAGGAGGTGCTGTGACCCAGGTCACAGTTGTGTATTGGAAATGAGACACTTGTCCCATTTCTATTGGATAAGTGTATTTTTTTGTGTTAAAAAAAATAGTAAAAAAATATTAAAATTCATATTTTTTTTCATTCTCTATAAATAAAGACTAAATTTAATAGGTTTTGGAACACAATTATTATTTCTAAATAAATAAAAATAAAATAAAAATGTTAGGTTGAGTTGGGTTGGGGATATTTTGAGTTGAAAGGTTGAGTTGTGTAAGTGGATGAGAGAGAAATATTTTTTAATAATTAGGTTGGGTTGCTGATAAATGTAGTCTAATCATCACTTCACATCACCCTCTCCTACTTTTATATCAAATCAACTTTAATTATTTTATTTTAAATATTATTTGAATATAAACTCAAAATCTCACTAACAACTAACTATACCATTTTTTTTCAAAATTAACCGTGATTAACCAAAAAAACTCATTTTGAGCGGATATATTTGTATCCAAGCACGCCCTCAGGGAGACAAGTAAAAGATAATCAGTACCGAAATTGTGTGTATTGAGGATGCATCACGAAAAAACATAACTCACCTTGAGGCCTGACTCGATGACAAGGTCTACAAAACCTGAGGCCAAGAGGGCATAGGCATAACAATCACAGCCATACAGTGGCACTTTGACCTGCAAAACCGAACAAGTGGAATATCGGTGTAGGATATGAAGTGATATTAACAAGAAAAATTGTGATTGGACTTTAACGGAGATTTAAGCAGTAAAATCTGGGAAAGGATATCTAGCAGAGTTTGCCTTTCATATGCATCCATATGATCGTAGAGATGCGTGGCAAGAAAAAGTCAAAAAAGTGCATACGCAAGAATCACGTTAACTGCAAGTTTGCATCAACATCCAACACAGAAATAGAAAGACAGACCACCTTGGACACTTGTGTTTCAAAATTTTCCTTTCAGGACAGAGACAACTCAAAACTAGTAAGTACCAACTCCCAAAGATGTGTTGCAGAACATCTATAACAAATAAATTGACTTGTATGCTGATCCTTCTAGTAGGGTGTGCTTTGGTCCATACAGTCATCCGATAACAGGTCAGAGTTACAAGCATTACATAGACATCTGATGATACGGCTATATTTACACACGTAATACTTGTCAATACAGTTTTCTAATCCACGAACTATACATATTTTAATATATATCAATGGCATGTGGACATACCTTACTTCTTACTCGAGCGAAGGCCACTTCCGCAGTCCCACTAAATAAATGTGGACTAGTGGTGTAACTGAAAAAATTACACCAAAACCTCAAGATATGATTTAGGTTTTAGCTTAAGAAAAAGAAATTCCTTTCCGGGTAGAGATTCTTCAAGCTACATTACTGAAAGGGTAACTGAAAAATGGTCAACGTACAGGTAGGCTTTAGAGAGTTGGGAACAGCTGCGCACAGAGATTTCCTGTCCATTCAACGTAGTTCTCTTCCCCCTTAGCCCAATCCATCTTTCTCTGAGCACAGGCTGGTCAATAATACCAAGAATCTGGCAAAACACAAGATATTATCACTTTATAATATGTCAGAAAGAAAAAGAAAGAAGACGAAAGAAGAACTAGATTTCTCTCATAGCTTCCTGAATACAGAAAGTAGGTAACATCTTTACCGGTATACCCTTATGGAGTAAAGCAATTAGTGTTCCAAACAAAGGCTTGCCTGTGTACATTTGACATTATTATTAGTCAGGCGTTAGGAAAAGCTTTGTAGTTAGATTACGAGTGAAATCGTGCAGTACCAGTGATAAAACTTTTTGTCCCATCTATCGGGTCTAATACCCATACAAAGTCCGCAAAATCTTGTTTGCACCTCCATCCATTCTCCTCTCCATAACTGAAATTGAAATCCTTTATTTTGCAGGATAAACATTAAATGCCCGAGATAAACTTGACGAAAATAAGAAACATATGCATATTTGCCCTCGTTCTTGTAAATATTTATGCAATAAACATATGAGCAAACTATCAGAAAAATAAAAGGATCACACTATCACTCACACTTGCAAACTGCAAACAATTCATTTATGCTTTTGTGTAATCTAAGTATCTCATTCAAGACAGATCCAATATTGAGTTTAAGTTCTGAATATAATGTACATAACTCAACAAGTGTAGAAAAATAAAATTTAGAATCACAATTCACGGAGAAACAGCACGCAAATCTGGTCAAAATCATGCCATCTTGTTAATCATATTTTTAACAAGTATAGTAGTATGTAGCTCAAATGCCATTAACCACAGAGCTGAGGCCAGAATTGAATCTATTAATGCTTAATTGAGATTAAATTTCATACATGATGCAAATCACTTATCAGCTTTTTGATTTGTGGCGAAGAAACAAAAACAAGGAATGAACTTAAACATTCCGACCTATGGACTCTCATAAATCACCAAAAAAATAAGGAGCTCACATTGCATGAGAAGGAAAATGCTCTTGTATAATTTTCACCATGGACTCCTCCGCCGCTCGATCGGCGATCGTCACAGGACCTAATCACAACAAAATGACTCAGAAATTCGATTCCACCGGAAAATTCAAACCAATTCTCATCCAAAACAAGCAACGAAATGAACAAAGTCAAAAATACTCACTCAAATCCTCCTTGTCGATAATGTCGAAGCTCTTCCGGAAGTAACTACAGATGACCTCACCGGAGGCGTCCGCTAGCCTATTGCCTACATCAGCGAAGCTGTCCAGGTCATAATCTTCCGATCCAACGGTCACGGCTTCACCGCCATTAGAGAGAGCAGAGCACGCAAAAGCCATTTTAACCGGCTTCAGCTGAACCGCTCCAAACTTTAGGGCAGAACTCAAACAACTGCGATCGGAAAGTGAGAATCGGCGAATCGCCGGCAGGGAAGGAAATTGCGAGGTCCGGTGTCGGTTTGGAGAGAGAGTGTAGGAGTGAGAGAGCATTTGGAGGAGCGATGTTTGCATGGAGTAGAGTATATGTAGGCGAGGAAGTGAGCTCGAGATGCTTTTCCCGACTCTGAATGAGGTGAAAGGTGGCCCTTTAGTGGCTGAGCGGCTGGGTGCGGCGGCGGCGGCGGGAAGTGGAGTGAATGGGTAAAGAGTGGAGGCCGACGTGTTTTCCACCGTTGGATCGTTGGCGAGCTCAGCTGATGATGTGACCAGATATAATAGCTGGTTTTTTCCTTAAAAGGGATTAAAAATTTAAAAAAAATTAAAAAGTAAAAAATCAATAAAATTTTCAAATAAATAATCCGGCAGATATTGCACGTTTTGCCAAAATTTGTAATTTCACATATTTATAGATTGTTTAATTCTATAATGAACAAATAAAATTATTTATTTATTTATAGATGTCAAATCAAAGTATAAAACGCCCGTGGGTGCCAATTAAAATTATTATACTTCAATTCTTAAAAAATAAAAAATAGAAAGGAATTCTTATATTTAAATTTAAAATGATATTTTTTACTTGTGCAAATTATTAACAATTGATCGCCAACGGTAACGAAAAATATATTTAAAGTTGTTTAATCGAATGTTATCAAATATTTATGGTTATTTTTACGCCAAAGAACATGGATAGATAATTAAAAAATAAAAAAATAAAGCAAGACACTTATGTTGTTTATCTGAATATTTATTAAAGAACTGTATGGTAAAGGTACAACTTTTGCTATGTTTGGTAAAACTAGTTGATAAGTTAGCTTCTAGCTTATATTTAATTTTCGAGCTTATAGTTTATGATTTATAGCTGAAAAGTTAGCTTATATGATAAAAGTGTTTGTAAAATTAGTTGATAAACTAGCTGAAATAAAAATTTCAACTAGCTTATTTAAAAGCTACTTAAACAAGCTTATGAGATAAGTTCCAACTTTTTAAAAAAGCTCGTGCTACCAAACGAAGTTTATTTGAATATAGAAAATTTACAAGTTAACCAAATAAACTATAAGCTAGTTTATTTGACCATAAAATATAGCAAGTGTGTGGTTGTGAATGACTTTAGAAAATCAACTCATATGATAAAGTGATAATAATGTGGTTGTGTGTTTATGTGATGCCTCAAAGTAAGAAAATATGTTGTGTTACATTTGACGTAATCAATATATAGATTTTTCTGTAATTACATCATTTATATTTATATATTCATTTGTTGATAATTAAATTTAATGTGATATTATATACATTATTTATTTTATAATTTTAACATTATATATATACATTATTTATATTGTGTAGAGTATCGTCTATTTCCTTAGAAAGAATATTCGATATCTTTTTATTTATTAATTTGAGTTTGACAATTCGCAAAATAAAAAGTCTATATATGTTTTATACAAATAATATCTTCATACAAAAATATGTCAATTTTAAGTATAATAATACAAAATTTGGCATTAAATTAAGTGAAAATTGACATTTCCTCTCACTAATTTATAGCCTAATAAAGTTACAAAAGATATTATAAATTATTTGGCATCTCATTTATCTTGAATCAATTAGTAAAATTGTTCTTTACGTTTGTTCTTAAGTTACCCAATTAAATAATTGTTATACGTAAAAAAAAATTAAAAACTATAATTTGAATAAAATTGTAATTTGCAACAAAAAATTTAAAATTTGTGAAAGAGTTGTATATTAATTATGTTTATTATCTCTTATTATTTACTGAAAAACAAACTAATGTATTATTAATAAAGAATTGGGATATATATTGTTTTCCTTAACACTCACTAAAAAACTTTTTAAGAAATGTTTCGAATAAAAATAATTTAAAATAAATTTTCTCACTTTACGCTTTTAAGTAAATTCCTAACCTTTAAATACATAGGTTGTGTAAAAGTTACAAGAAATTTGTATATAGCAAAGTATTTTAGTACAATTTAGTTAATACATCTAAAATATTATATAATATTCTTGAATAGTATGTATTAAATTTTATCAAAGGCTGTCTATTAATCTTTAAGTAACATCTATAATACAAATAAACAAAAGAAAATGTAAATATCTATCAGTATATAAACAACAAAGAAAAAATATTTCATTTTGTATAACAACTGCAATAAATAGGTCATGTTATACCACAAATTATATTATAATTGTATTAGCATTTATTTAGTTGTAACATGTATATAATAATTGTATTAGATTTTATTTAGTTGTAACATGTATTTAGAAGGGTGGTTACGTGAAGTTACTGTGGAATCAGAAATGAATCTTCCGTGCCACGTCCAGAGATTACGGATGATACACTAAAATCTCCAGAGATTATGAATGATACACTAATTACGGATGATACACTAAAATCTCCAGAAATTATGGATGATACACTAAAATACGGATGATACACTAAAATCTCCAGAGATTATGGATGATACACTAAAATTCTCGGATTTAGGACGTTATAAAATAAAATTATAAAAAAATTGTAAAAGTAAATTTCTAACATTATATATATATACATAATTTATAATATTTTATAATATAATACATAATGTATAATATTTTATAATTTATATTTGTGTACATGCATATAATCAACTATTAAAATAAAGTTAGAGTTAAAATTAAATTAAATATAATTTTAAGAAAATATAGGATTTAAAATAATTGATTTAATATATTCATATATTCATTTATCAAGTATCAAATTTATAAAATGTAATATATACATTATCAAATTTATAATTTTAATATTATATATAATTTATAATACTTCATAATTTATAAAGAATCAACTAAATAGTAGAATTGAATTAAAATTGAGTTAAATTTTAATTTAAAAAAAAATAATTAATTACAAATAATTATTTTTTATTTTTTTTTGGAAAAATTTTGTATCTGCACATAGGTCTCCCTTAGCTATGTCAACCTAGACCTAGACCTAGACCTTCGAGCTGCCTTAGCTATGTCAACCTGTACAGCCGTTGAACTCCCTTGAACCAATCTTCACCGAGCCGTTCTAGCAGGTTCACTGAACTATTTTGAATACTATACCAAAGCCTTGATCACCAAGGACTAACACAAGCCATCCCACTGTCCCACTATTTCTTACTTAGTTTTAAACGAGGGAATTGAAATATGTTCAAAGAAAAATTGAAAACACGACATCTTCATTCTTCACGTTCACAATCATTGCAACACACAATATACATAGCACATTATACACAAAACGACACAATAAAATTACCAAAAAAAAAAAAAAAGGTTTGTCCACACATCATTTTATTTATAATCGGCCCTTCAATTTTCTCCTTCAGTGCTGCCCCTCGTGGCCGTGGTGGTGGCCGGGAATCTTCTCCTTAATCTTCTCCATTAGCCCTTTCTTCTCGTGCTCCGGCGCCGGACCGGCCACGGCGGACGACGGCGGCGGCGTGGTGGTAGCGCCGTGCGGGGTCTCTTCCTTGTCCTTGCGGGCCCCACCGCCGAAAGTGTCCTTTATCTTCTCCTTCAACCCCTTCTTCTTCCTTCTCCCTCCCTGCCCGTCGTCCTCAGAGGACTACACGTTCTCCCAAAATAAAATTAAGAAAAAAATCGTTTAATTTCAAATAAGAAAAAAGAGGGGAATTAACTTTATTTTGATTCTGAACAATTAAATTACAATCATAAACTGACCGAGCTAGAGCTGGAGCTTCCAGATCGCCGGACCTGCTCCTGCGGCTGCTGAGGCGGTGGTGGCGCGTGGACCGCCTCCGCCGCCGCCCCACCAGCGGCGGTCTGGTGAGTGGTAGCGACGCCGGTGAGGTGCATCGGGTTGCCGAACTCATCGGTCAGCTGAACCGGTTTGCCGTATTGGTCGGTCAGCTGGATCGGGTTCCCGTGCTCGTCGCGTATATCAGCCATGGATGAATTTAATTAATTCTCTATTTTCTTTTTTCTTTTGAATTTTTTCTGTTGAGATTTGAGAGTAAGTTGATCTCCTCAATTGATCCAATTTGGTTTATTTAAATTGGGAGAAATTGAAAGCGGTGTGAGCATGTTTATGAGGTTCGCACACGTGTTGAAGTGTAATGACACGTAGGTGCCAGGTGGAAAGGAGGACACTAATCGTTATTGAAAACTATTTTCATTTTTGGTACCAAAAAAAAAAAAAAAAACTATTTTCATTCTATGTTAAAAATTAAGGAGAGAAACGATAAAAGCAAGTGATTTTTACTATTAAATTAATTTTATTTTTCTAGATTGAAGATTGAGGACCAATACCGAGTTCATAATTCCTACTGATTTGGTACATTTTTGAAACGTAATTGAAAATGTCCTTTAGAAAATAACACTGATGATATGATATATTGACATGTACACGAAAAAAAAAATCGATTATAAAGGTTTGGACATGGTTTATGGATCACATACACTTGCATGAAACATCGAATCCTTGGTTTATATTTACATGAAATTAGCTAAAGATGAAAGTTTCCCACTAAGTACTATTGTAAGAAAAAATTGATCATAGGCTTCAAAACAAAAACACGCACACACGTACATACATAAGCACGCAGGAGCGATTTAATGCACATGAAAAGTAAAACATGAAACAATCAAATTACCATTAAACGAAACAAAAGGCATACAATCGTTTAACCCTACCATT